TCTCTACTAAATGGTTGATATGTCAGTTTATGGTAAAAGTACCGGAATTATACATTTACGATGAAAAATCAGAAAACGAAGTGTAAAACCAATTTACTTAAAAAATAATCAAAATAAAACATTTTTGAATACTAAATCACCTTTATTTTTTGAAGTATGCCATAAAATATTTCAGATTAACATGTTTTTTTTTTAACAATAAAACCAAAATCAAGTGAAGTAGTGCAACAGGATTATGTCTTGATTGTTTTGTAAATGAACAATGCTGTGTGTACGTGTAAACCATTATTTAAATGACTTAAACAGTCAAAACAAGGTCAACCATTTGGTAGATTGGGCAGTCAAAGGGTTAAGTACATTTTCACAGGTGGTGTTCACCTGCATTTTTAAATTATAAATTGCATTTGATTTGACATTAAGGGGAATACTTTTCACCCCCCTTCTTCTGTCATAATGCACAGCAAGAGTTTTAAAGCCAACGATAAACTTCCGGTGAAAGCTTAATGTGAGTATTTTCAATTTCACATGGTTGTTTTTACAGCATCGATGTTGTCATTACAATACATTCAGTTAAATAGACTAATCATTTAGCAATCATTTAGTTGCTCAAGCATAAAATAAGATGAAAGACCGTTGTAACCGCAGCATTAGGCTGGCGCAGAAATTTCTTTGAAAATGTTGGGGTGAAATAAACTGTTAGCAGGGGGAAATGGAATTTAATGCAGTGCTTCTTGTCCGATCTGAGACCCACTTCATATCATATATATTTAACAGGCAGTGAAGATCGCTGATTTTTATAGAAATCAGATCTTAAATGTGAAAGTTTTGTAATGGAAAGACAGTTCAGAGGAAGCCCCCTTGGGCTGCCTGGCTGAAAATGAAGTCTGTATGCATATAGCCGATTAACAGTGTGTTTTCACTGCTGTCGTTTTAGGGTGTTTTATTGTTTGTATGTTCATACATTGGATGTCAAGTGACTGCTTTCAACATCCTTCAGAATATCTTGTTTTGTGTTTAACTGAAGAAATAAAATCATAAAAAGTTTAGAACCACTTGAGTGGAAGAAAATGGTGAGGGAATTTTCATTTTAGGTGAACTATCCCATTTAATGGAAATGTCTGTAAACTAGCCCTGACAGGAAATCCCCAATACCTTTTGCTTTTATTTATTTACTTTACACACCATAGAGTGTATATTGAGCTTATTTTGTTTAAATCAGCGCCCGTAAAGTAATAAACACAAACGGTCAACACAGCTGGTCATGTGATGTCAACATGGCGGCGTCCATAAGGGGGCGACCCGCTCACCCTAGCCTAAAACAGCTCTTCCCGAAGACTCCAAACGCGTCTCATCATCAAGTGTACATCACTTTAATTACGCCGTTTCCTTCCAAACCTTTTAATTAGCAACTGCAGACTGACAGCACCTTCGAGTGCGGCGTAAGAGGATTGAAGGCGCTCCTCTTCTTCTTCGTCTTCTCACTCCAGGGTTTCCTCGCCTTGATTTTTCTTTTCTCCAGGCGGCAGTGTGATTTCTGGCCGTGCGCGGCGCTGCACATCTCCAGCTCCCCTCTCTCTCTTTCTCGCTCACTCGCACACGGGCACAGGAGTGCGAGAGACAGCCATGGAGAGGTGGAGAAGCGACTGTTTTCTTTGTTATTTTTAAACTCCGAGATCCGCATCGATGACACGATTCACATCTCGCCGCATACAACGCTATTCCCGATGCGCTCGAAAGCGGAAAGTAGGTTCTCACAGGTACAGTACGGAGCACTTTTTTCTTTCCTTCTCCTGGCTTGGGTGTAATGGGGGTTTGCGGTAACGGAGGGAGAGAGAGAGAGATAGATATAGAGAGATGAAATGCACCGTCGCTTTTTCTCGCTGCTCGCGCCCGAATCCTCCGTCAGGTCGAGAGCGCGCTTATAATGCTCTCGCGCTCGGATGATCGGCGCGTGTTGGAGTGCGAAAATCAGTGTTGCAAAGTTGCACACTAGTCCCTGGGCTGCGGAAGGGCCTGGCTGTGTGTGTGTGTGTGTGTGTATGTGTGTGTATGGAGTTTGTTTCTTACTTTCCCCTCCCCCATCCGCTCCTGCTGCTGCTGCTGAGGCCGAGACATGAATGCGATGAATGTGGGGCTCACTTCAAAGCAGATCGCGAGGGCAGCGAAAGGGGTGTTGTAATGTCGTCAGCGGAGGAAAAAACGCAGCGATCCGTTTTTAGATGGCCGCGCCGCGTAACGTTAAGTGGGATGATCGGCGTTTGCGGTGCGTAAAGATGGCTAGCGTGCTGTGACAACGTGTTCTCACACTAGTTGAGTCGGATCCGTGGAGCGGATCAGCGGGGAGAGCTCGCTAGAAATGTCGGCTCGTGCGCTCAAAGATGGTGAAAGTGTTTTTTTCGCCGTCTACGCTCACTTGTGAGGGAAGGTCTCGCGCCGCACGTACTTCCTCCCCTCGCGCGCTACCCTCTTTGATGCGGTTGATGTTCGTCATATTTGTTTTTGACTTGTGCTTGTTGTTTTTTTGCGTCGTAGCTGTACACAATATACACTTCTAGTGTGGTTTAATTTAGATAACAACATCCCCGTTTGCGTAAAATGTTTCTAAATGCGCGTCTCGCGCTGGATTAGCCTGCTAGCTCATCGCCATTGAAGTTCGCGCTGTTAAAGTTATTGACTCGGAAAGCTCAAGGTTTCTTTCCTCCCCAGCTCGCTTATCAAGCACATCAGACGCAATCTAGTTGGCAGGCAGTCACAGGTTTTAAGGTCGGAACTTGAAAGTGTTGGATTTATGGTGTCATAAAGCGTGTCACAGGTGAGTTCAAGAGTGTTTGTGCCATGATGGCTGCCCCCTTTTTGCTATCTCTGCTTTAAGATAGTCGCCCGAGGCCACTGGAAGTTTGATGGGCTTGTAGCGCTGTGCTGTGTTTGATTAAACTTTGATAACACTGGTTTTATGTTGCCCGAAAGGTCTACTGAGGTGTCATTACCGTTTGAGTTGCTGTTACAATGTTATTGACTATTATCTGATTAGTGCCGTGGTTCTTTGTGGTGGCATTTAATTTAGCTGTAATGTTTGTTACATGTACTTACTAATGCAGTGCAGTACATTAAAAGCAACTAAAGTTGTTTTATAGTTAGTACATTGTGAATACATTTAATGATTTCTGTATTTTCCTTGTAACAAGGTATTGAGGTAAAGTTGGTTTTATATTCACACATTTAGACCTCCTTAATAATATAATTTCAGCAATGCAATTTTTGCAATTTATAAATAGTTAAAACATGATGTACAACATTATTCACAGTCAAATAAATAGTGCTAATGTTGTTTTGAAGTCATAATTACATCTAATTTCTGACTGAATGTTCAAAGTATCATGGTTAACACTATAGGGATAATTTCACAAGTTGTCATTGAACAAATGTGTGAAAATAAAAGCAACTTTGCCTTATCATCTTGTCTTATAAAGGTGCATAATTCATATAAGGGATGCGTTTTGTGACAGTGAAGATTCTTTAAATACGGGTTACATCAGCTTCATATGGTATGACCCAGGAACTAAGAAACAGTACATGCACTTACTATAACAATGCAGTAAATGAAATGCACATAACTACAAGCATTTCCCAGTGATGGGTTGCAGCTGGAAGGGCTTCTGTTGCGTAAAACATATCCTGGATAAGTTGGCGGTTCATTCCGCTGTGGGGACCCCGGATTAATAAAGGGACTAAAGCAAATAGAAAATGAATGAATGAATGAATTACAAGCAGCCAAAGTTGTCTCATAGTAAATACATTGTGAATGTTGCCCTATACTGATTTGTTTATATTCTCTGTAACGGGGACACCTTATGTAAGATGCAACCTCATCATCTTGTATTATAAAGGTGCATAATTCATGTTAGGGATGCGTTTTGTGACAGTGAAGGTTCTTTAAATACTGGGAACATCAGCTTTTAAATATGGTATGGCCCAGGAACTAAAAGAAACAATAGATGTGCCTTCTATAGCAATGCAGTAAATGAAATGTGCATAATTACATGCATTATCCAGTGCTGGGTTGCTGCTGGAAGGGCTTCTGCTGCGTAAAACACATGCTGGATAAGTTGGCGGTTCATTCTGCTGTGGCGACCCTGGATTAATAAAGGGACTATGCTTAAAAGAAAATGAATGAATGATTGAATTACAAGCAGTCAAAGTTGTCTCATAGTAAATATGTTGTGAATATTGGCCTATACTGATTTGTGTATGTACCCTGTAACAAGGACACCCTTATGTAAAATGTAACCTCATCATCTTGTCTTATAAAGGTACATAATTCATAATAGGGTTACATCCGTGACACTTGAGACCCTCTAAGTGATCCAAAAATGGTAACTTACTGTATGTGTAGGGCCAGACAGAATCTGCGGACATTTTTTGCCATTTCTGCAGAGAATTTAGTAAAAGTTGCGGATTTACATGGAATGATTTTAGGAGTATCCTAACTAAAAACTTAATATATTAAATAAAATCCAATTGGATCCACTTATTTAATAAACTCTCATATAATATATCTACTAAAAGACCAAAAGTATTACTTAACTGTATTATTATTATTAAATCATGAACATTTAAAAATGACTATTATTAAATCACAATAATATTAGTGAAATCATTACAGAAACTGATTAAAAATAAGTTTACACACATTTACACAAGTAAATACACCACAAGTAAATATGTAGACTCAATGATAGGCTGGAAATCTGCAGATTTCTGCGTGCGCGGATTCCGTGTGGGGCTACTCATGTGTAAGATATTTAATTACATTTATTTACAAACCTGTGTTTTTGAAACAAATGAAGATGGCAGAATGATCAATTCGATGATGTGAATTATTTAGCCTGACATGCCAGCAGGCACACCCAAATTCATGTCAGTCACTTGATTTTTAAAATAAATGTTCTGCAAGAGCTTTATTGAATGCTTTCTTTTTTCTCGTTGTCTTTCTCATGCAGGAGGAATTCTTTCGCAGTGGCATTAATAGAAGTCTGGATATAAACTTTCTGCCTCGTGGGCTGTACTGGGACAGAGTGCAGGGACACTATGAGCATGAGTGTAAACGAGAAGGGCATCTGTTATCTGCCAGACCTGGGCAGCAGCTTCACTGAGGATGCCCCCAGACCCCCGGTCCCTGGGGAGGAGGGCGATTTGGTGTCCAGCGATGGACGGCAATACAACCACAGTTTTTACTCGTCCAAAAGCGACAGCCTCAAGAACGAGGCCTCCATAGCTACGCCTAGACGACCCGACCTGGACCTGGGCTATGAGCCCGAGGGTAGCGCTTCCCCAACGCCGCCCTATTTAAAATGGGCGGAATCCTTACACTCGCTGCTGGACGACCAAGACGGCATCCACTTGTTTAGGACTTTCCTCAAGCAAGAGGAGTGCGCGGATATGCTGGACTTCTGGTTCGCTTGCAGCGGATTCCGCAAGCAAGAGGCCAACGATGGCAACGAGAAGATGCTGAAACTCGCGAAGGCCATTTACAAAAAGTACATCCTGGATAACAATGGAATCGTATCCCGGCAGATCAAACCCGCCACCAAGAGCTTCATCAAAGACTGCGTGATGAAGCTGCACATCGATCCGGCTATGTTCGACCAGGCGCAGACGGAAATTCAGACTATGATGGAGGAGAACACCTACCCTTTGTTTTTAAAGTCCGACATTTACTTGGAGTACACCAGGACTGGCGGAGAGAGTCCCAAACTGTTTAGCGACCAGAGCTCGGTGTCAGGCAACGGCAAAGTCTTGCCGGGCTACTTGCCGACTGTGATCGAAGACGTGGAGTGGAGGTGCGACCAGGAGGAGGAGCAGATCGCGGAAAGTGACCCCACTCCCAGCAACAGGCTCACCCAGAAGCTGCTTCTGGAAACGGTGCCTCAGCGGGTGGCCAACAGTAAAAGATATCAGGACAACCGTGAGTACAGGTAAATCCCTGCAGCTTTGAAAAAAACTCCTCTCTCTCTCTCTCTCTTTCTGTCTTCTTCCATCCCCCTTCCCCCTCGCGGTGCAAGCGCAGTCAGAAGAAAAAGATAAAACGGGAATCTGAGTTAAGCACAGCCTTCCACAGGAGATGAGAGGAATGCAGTATAGGCAGAAAGCTCTAAGTAGCTGCGACTGAGCTAGCAAGACAGATACTGGGTCGCAGCGTTGTCTTTGCCTACTGCGAGTTGGTGCAAGTGGGTGCTCTTTGTGTTCTCCATGCAGGTGTCTCTTGAATGGCAGGCTTTGCAGCAGAATAAAGGTTTCTTCAGGAGAACCACAACACGGATTCTCTTTAGAATGGGCACAAAGACGCTGCACTGCATATTTAGTGCAGGAAAGAGAAAGCAATGCACAGCACTCCAAAAAGTTTGGCAGCATTGATTTAACCGGTGCTTTTACGTATATCTGATCCGGTGCCCTTTGAAGCCCAGTGCTGCGTATGGATTCGGTGCGTTTCTGAACGTGTTTAGATCTCTATCTCTCATGCCACCCGTGGTTTGCGTGCCGAGCGAGCGTATTGGAATGTGTGCTTCAGGTATTGTATTTTGTAATGAATTTTTGCTGCTCAGACATTCCCCAGGCATTCCTCGCCACCAGTTGTGACGGCCCATTGTGCTCTTTTAGCGCACGGAGCTTTCTTGTTCATATCGTGCATCGCGCCGACATCGTTTAATCTGCAGAGACGTGCTTTTTAAGCCGCACTGTGAAATTTACAGCAAATCACTTGATGCATCAGAGCCTCGAGTCCCTCCATATGAGCAAAATGGGATTTAGAGATGTGACTGCTAAATACTTTAATCCTTGTCCTGCTGGAATAGAAAGCGGTGCATGTGGGCCTTTGAACAGCCTCTGCTGAAGATTACAAAGCTTTCCATCCCAGATTTAAAAGCAAATATCGACAGGTGCATTCACCGTGGCATATCAAAGCAATAACTGCTCCAGGTATGCAGTGTTTGTAGGCCTTTGCCAGAGTACAAACAATTTTTGGTTGCAGTTTACGTGCGCTGTTATTACTCTAGCTGCTTTTATGCTGTCAGGTACACACAATGCAACATATTTAATACATTAAATGCATCTTACCACATCACAGTCCAGAAAATCAGAAGTTGACAAAATTATCAATCAGTCCAATTAATAATTGGTTATTTATGTCAAGAACTGTTCTTTTTGCACTTACAAGGACAATATCTTCTCTGTGAATCTGTTTTCTATCATCTCAAATAATTAAATGCAACCAATCTGAGTTTTTTTTTCAAATGTTACCAATGCTATTAGCAACAATTCATTATATTTGCATACAAGATGTACTTTACTAAAGCTGTGTTTCTCAACCACGTTCCTGGAGGATCACCTTCTCTGCATATTTTCCATGTCTTTTTAGCTAAAACACACCTGATTCAGATCATCAGCTCATTCACTGAGACTGAAAGACCTGTAATGGGTGTGACAAAGGGGGCATCCAAAACATGCAGTGTTGGTGGTCCCCCAGGAATGTGGTTGAGAAACACTGCACTAAAGGACCTTAATGTGGAGTAGGGCAGCAGAATCATGATTAAAACATGCAATTTACTCCCCCATAGACTTCCATGTAAATGCACGCAAATGCGGTAATGCAAGCTCATGCGACAAGTTTCGCAGTTCACTGCATTGCAAATTTTAAGCTTGGTGAAATTGCATCACGTTACTGTGAGAGACCAATCGAAGATCAAAACATCACCTCAGTGTACAGAAATTTAAAATATGGACCAATCCCTGCATTTTTTAAATGTTTAAAATCGTCTTTATTTTTTGTGCAGCGCCATACGACAGAATTTTGCAAGCTCAATTTCTAGTGTGACTGCATCACAACATAAGTCTTTTTAACATAGTTAAAATTGTAATGATTATTCATGTCAGTTTATAATAGAATACTTATTAAAATAATTTAGAGTTTGAGCAAGTAGCATATTCTAGCTACACATGACATATGCAAGTCAAATATTAGTCTAGTGCTACTTGTGGACTTTTCACATTAATCACTTCATGAATCACTTGCATATCTGCACTTTGTTTTTTATAATGAGAGATTCCATAATAATTCTGTCAGTGAGCTTGAACACACTTGACAACTAGTAGGCTGTGACTAATCTAAATGCCTCTGATTGCACTTATTGCTTTTACATGTGCATTTATAAGCTCAACAGAAACCTCAATGATTGTTTATACTGCTCATCCATGCACATTTTGCTTTCGCCAAAGCTGTAATTTTGAATGATGACTCCTTTTTTGAACTCATGTAACATTTTTGCCTATTTTTGTGGAGTTTTGACTGGTCTGCATGCCTGGGTGAAGCTAAGCAAAATTTTTTTTTTTAGATAGCTCTGATAGTCTGCCTTAAAATCAGACTTTGTTACTTCAAACCTCAGACTTTTTTTTCCCTCTGTGAACACATTTTGAGGGCTGTGGTATTTAGGGAAAATACCTAATTGTGAAATATTTATTTATTTATTTTTTTGACAGATATTGAAATTGCGATTTGATTTACGATACAATTTTGTGGTCAAGCTTCAGTTCAATAATCTGCAAGCCATTGCAACAATTGTGTGACAGCTCTTAAAAATTGCCTGTTTTTGTTCGGTGTCTGAGTTTGAAACCAAAATATTCCCATATTACTAATGCTATTTTTCTTTAGTACAATAGATAAGTCTTAATGATAGAGGAGACTCTTCTATTAATGATTCTGAAATAGCAGATGCCATTATCCCACTTGTCTGCGCTTTCGTCTTTTTTATTTATTTATTTTTTTTTATATTTATTGTGAGCGTTCCACATAGTTTGGTTGCACAATTCTGATTGGGCAGAACGAAAGTCTGCTCATTCAATTGGCTAGTAAGACTGTTACAAACAGACGGCAGGTGAAATAAAAAAATACATATTTCTAATCATAGCGTCGTGGAATTAAACAAAATGCAACATTTCAAATTGCGATTGCAATTTAATTTCGATTAATCGCACAGCCCTAGTCCCCAATTAAAAATTTTTTGGTCCATACAGTGGAAGTCAGTAACATTCAGAAGTAAGGCATACATGTTTTAAAAGAATTATAGAATTAAAAAATGCCAGGATTTCAGTTTTTGGTTAAATATCCATTTAAAAACTTAAATACCTGATTTCTAGCTTTTTGGACTAGCATTTACAGTGTTTTTTTAAAGACAAGCTATTGTTTTTAGTCTGACTTGAATCAAACTTTTCTCCCCAGTTTCAGAAGCTTAAGGCAAATTTTGGTCTAAACTGCATGTAAAATAACTTTCAGTAATGTAAACCAAAAATATGTCAGCGCCATAGAATTGTTTCAAGATACATACCAGTAATGTGTTTTTCTGAGTCATGATTATAAAGGCGGCCTAGTTTCTCCATTTAGTGAAGAGCTAGTCCTTGCTTAAGCTAAGTCCTGTTTGTAAAACCGGCCTTTAAAGTGCATGTTGGTCAGAGAATATAGTCCACAACAACATTCAAAGGCCTTGCGACATGTACAGTGGTTTCTGATATATTGTATAAGGTATATAGTATACTGTTTTTTGTGTGTTTTCTGTGTTTTTGAAACCAATGAAGATTGCAGAACTCAATTATTTATTTTAATTATTTAGCCTGGCTTGTTTACTGTTCCAAAATATGGTAAATGTTTCTTAAAATTAAATATATTGTGTTCAGTTGGGGGAAAAAAATTTGTTCTTTTTTACCCAGACATTTAAAAATACCTTAATTTAGAGCAGTGATCAAAATACAGTCAAACCGTGATATTTCTATCCAAGGTTATCATGCTGTCAGAAACTTATACTGGGATATGCCTATTAGGAACTGTATTCTATTTCCAGTGTCAGAATCGGAACTTTGATGCCATATCTTGGCTACAGCACATGCAATTTTATGCAGAGGAAAGTTGTCTCCAGCTAGGTAACTTTCAACTTTGTTATTTTAAACCAAAGTAAGGCGATTTTTAGGCACTGCATAATATCATTGTGCCTGCTGCAGCAAAGTTACATAATTGTTACCCTGGATAGATCCTTGCCAATCTGATAAAAAAAAAATGTGTACAGAAGAACTTTGAACATTTTTGAATGAGATGCTAATGGTCTAATCTGATTCAATGATTTATGCTAAGCTAAGCTAAAGGTGTTTCCGCTAGACCCAGAGTTTGGCTGAATGGATTAAAAATGAATAAAAGTCAAGTCAGAAAGCTCAACTCTCTCAAATATTTTAAGTTGCATGACTTTTCTTGGTATCTTTGCCATTTCTTCAAGCCTCGACCTCTGGTTTAAAACAAAATAGTTGGTTTAGGTTCTGCTTATAAAGCTTGTTTTTTTTCTTATTTTTATGATTTTAAAGTATCTTCACTAACTTATTGACTATTCTCTCCGGTTTCTTGGTTAAGAACTGCATATGTATGTATTCACTGGTATTTTACAGTGACTGTTACAAGACGATTCATCCACAGTGCAGATTAATCATCGGTTTACAGCTGTGATGCAACATAGAAACTTGGTCCGTTGCTTTCAAATGTGCCATTTTTAACATCAGCTTTCAATTGAGCTCGTCCAATCAGCTTCCGAGTCTGAACTAAGTTTTTAAACACGAATTTCTGAATTAGTACAACATGTTTTTTTTTTCTTCCCCCCTCTCGAAGCTAAAGCTTAAATTCTAAGCAGCATGGAGGAGCAGGAGGAGGATTTACACAGCCTGATTTAGCCTCAGTAAAATGCTCAAGCATACATTGTGCTCCGCTGCTCTGATGTGCTCAACTGCACTGTGTTCACTGCTGGCACTCCTCCCGCAAAAGAGATTGAAAATTGCGGAAATCTACCCCTAGAAGTTGACCCAGTTTTCTCTCAACTGTCTGAGACAAACCTTGACATCTGTTGATGGTGCAGTAACCCTGTTCTGTCCAAAACCTCAGCGCTTTAGA